TTGGGTAAAATGGACATTTTAAAAAATGTTAATACTTTATTGATTTTTTTTTAAGAGACAGGAAGGGAGAGGGAGGGAGAAATAGAGGAACATTGAGATGAGAGAGAGAAAATCATCAGCTACATCCTGCATGCTCCCCACTGAGGACTGAGTCTGCATGCCCCCTTACCAGGGATCAGGTGCAAACCTAGGCCTGTGACCTCACCTGGTATTGAACTGGTTACATCTCGATGCGTGAGATGATGCTCAACCAACTGAGCCACACTGGGAAGGGCTAGTATGGACACTTTAATGATGTTAATACTTCAAATCCATGAACATGATATATGCTTCCCCTTCTTTGTATCTTCCTCTATATTTTCGTTGTCCTATAATTTTCAAAGTACAGGTCTTTTACCTCCTTAGTTAAATTTATTTCTAGGTACCATATTGTTTTTATTGCAATAGTAAATGGGATAATTTTCTTAGATTCTCTTTCTGAAAGTTTATTATTGGTGTATAGAAATGCCACCAATTTCTGAATATTAATTTTATATCCTGTTGCTTTGCCAAATTAATTTATTGGATCTAATAACTTTAGTGGAGTACTTAGGGTTCTCTATATGCAATATTATAGCATCTGCAAAAAATGATAGTTTTATTTCTTCCTTTCCAATTTGGATGCCTTTTATTTCTTACTAGAGGCCTAGTGTATGAAATATGTGAATGGGGGGAAGGGGTAGTGGTGGGATTGGGCCTAAACAGGCAGTCGGACATCCCTCTCACAATCCAGGACTGCAGGCTCCGAATCACTCACCTGCCTTCCTGATTGCCCCTAACTGCTTCTGCCTGCCAGCCTGATAACCCCTAACAACTCACATGCCAGCCTGATTGGTGTCTAACTGCTCCCCTGCCAGCCTGTTTGCCCCCAACTTTCCTCCCCTGCTGGGCTGATCACTCCTAACTGCCTTCCCCTGAAGGGTTGATTACCCCCAAATGCCCTCCCTTGTAGGCCTGGTACCTCCCAACTGCCCTCCCCTGCTGGCCATCTTGTATCCACATGGGGGAAAGATTTTGACCAAATGGGGGCAACCATATTGTGTGTTGAAGTGATGGTCAATCTGCATATTACTCTTTTATTATAGGTCTGGTTCATGGGGGGCGGGCCAGCTGGTTTTCCCTGAAGGGTGTCCTGGATCAGGGTCAGGGTTTCCTTGGGGCATGGGGCAGCCTGGGCAAGGGGCCTGTGGTGGTTTGCAGGCTGGCCACACCCCGGCGACCCAAGTGGAGGCCCTAGTATCTGGGATTTATTTACCTTCTACAATTGAAACTTTGTAGCCTTAAATGGAGGCTCAGGCTGGCTAGGGCAGGTGGAAAGCTTGGCTTCTTCCATTGCCTGGGAAACCCAAGCCTCCCTCCTGCTCTCTATGGCTGCAGCAATCTTGGTTGGGGTTAATTTGCATACTTGCTCCGATTGGCTGGTGGGAGTGGCTGGTAGGTGTAGCAGAGGTATGGTCAATTTGCATATTACTCTTTTATTACCGATTGTGATTGCTGTGGCTATGACTTCCAATATTATGTTGAATAAGAGGGTTAAAAGTAGACATCCTTCTGTAGTTCCTAATCTTAAGGAAAATGTGTTTAGTTTTTGCCCATTGAATATGATGTTTGCTGTTTATTTGTTATACTAGAGGCCCAGTGCATGAAATTCATGCATGGGGGGGGGGGTTCCCTCAGCCCAGCCCGCACCCTCTCACAATCTGGGACCCCTTGGGGATGTCCAACTGCCATGGTATTGGGTCTAAACTGGCAGTTGGACATTCCTCCAGCAATCCAGGACCTCTGGCTTCTAACTGCTCACCTGCCTGCCTGCCTGATTGTCCCTAACCACTCACCTGCCTGCATGATCTCCCCTAACCACTTGCCTGCCTGTCTGATCACTCCTAACCACTCTGCCTGCCTGTCTGATCTCCCTTTACTGCTCTGCCTGTCTGCCTGCCTGGTTGCTTCTAACTGCCTCTGCCTCAGCCCCCGCTGCCACGGCTTCATCGGGAAGGATGTCCAGAATGATGTCTGAAAGGTCAATTGACTGTTCAGTCTAATTAGCATATTTCACTTTTAATATATATACAATACATATATAGCTTTTATTATATTAAGGTATGTTCTCTTTTTTTTTTTTTCCAGTTTGCTGTGACTTAAATGGGTGCTTCATTATATCAAATGTTTTTGCTGCATCTATAGATATGATCATATTATTTTTATCCTTTTTTTGTGCTGTATCTTATCCTTGTTTTTGTGGTGTATCACATTCATTGATTTGTTGATATTGTACCAACCTTGAATCCCAGTTAATAAATCCTACTTGATCATGGTTTAAGATGTTTTTAATGTATTACTGAGTTAGGTTTGCTACTATTTTCTTGAGGATCTTTGCATCTATATTCTCATCAGGGCTATTGAACTATGATTTTTGGTTGTTTGTAGTGTCTATCTAGTTTTGGAATTAGGATAATGCTGCCTTCATAAAATGAGCTTGGTAGCCTTCCCTCGTCTTGAATTTTATGCAATAGTTTGAGAAAAATAGGTGTTAGCTCTTCTTTGAAAGTTTGGTGAACTTCACCTTTGAATCTATCCAGTCCAGTAATATTTGATTACTACTTTGTTTTTATTAGTTGTCATCAGTCTGTTTAGATTTTCTGTTTCTTCTTGATTGGATTTTAGAAGATCATGTGTTTCTAGGAATTTATTTCTTTCATATTGTCCATTTTGTTCACAATATTACATATTATTTGTAGTATTTTCTCATAATCCTTTGTATTTTCTGGTGTCAGTTGTTTCTTTTCCTCTTTCATTTTTTTTTCTTTTTTAAAAATATATCTTATTGATTTTTTACAGAGAGGAAGGGAGAGAGATAGAGAGTTAGAAATATTGATGAGAGAGAAACATCCATCAGCTGCCTCCTGCACATTCCATACTGGGTATGTGCCCACAATGAAGGTACATGACCTTAATAGGATCAAACCTGGGACCCTTGATTCCTCAGGCTGATGCTCTATCCATGAGCCAAACAAGTTAGGGCATCCTCTTTCGTTTCTGATTTCACTTAGTCAGGTTCTCTCCCTTTTTTCTTATTTTTAATCTTTATTGTTGAGAATATTACAAATGACTCCCTTTCTTTCCCCTTTGCCTCCCCAATACCTGGTTCCCACACTGCCGCAGGCCTTTACTACTCTATTGTCTATGTTCAATGCCGATGTGCATATAAATTCTTTGGTTATTCTCTACCCACACCACTCCTGGCACCTCTTCCTTCTGAGATCCATTAGTCTTTTGCATGCTTCTATGCCTTTGGTTCTATTTTATTCAATGGTTTATTGTGTTCACTAGATTTTACTTATTAGTGATATCATGTGATATTTGTCTTTTCTTCAGTGGCTTATTTCACTTAGTGTAATCATCTGCAGGTCCCTTCATGCTATTTCAAAGGGTAATAAATCCTTCTTTTTTTAACAGCTGCATAGTATTCCATTGTGTAAATGTGCAAAGCTTTATTTTTGGATTACTGGGCTGTTTCCAGATCATTGCTATTGTAAATAACGCTGCTATAAACATAGGGGTGTATATGTTCTTTCTGGTTTGTGTTTTGGGATTCTTAGAATATATTCCTAGAAGTGGTATCACTGGTTCAAAAGGCAGTTCAATTTTAATTTTTTGAGGAAACTCCATATTGTTTTGCACTGTCTGCATTTCCACCGATAGTGTTTTAGGGGTCCTTTTTCTTCACATTCTCACCAGTACTTGTTGTTTGTTAATGGTAGCCATTCTGGCAGGTGTAAGGTGAAACCTCATTGTTTTAACTTGTATCTCTCTGATGATTAGTGATATTGAGCATTTTTTTCATATGCCACATGGCCATTTGTATGTCCTCTTTAAGGAAGTGTCTTAGGTTCTCTGCCCATTTTTAAATTGGATTGCTTCTCTACTCTTTGTTGAGTTATATGAGTACTTTATATCTTTTGTAAATTAATCCCTTATCAGATGATTCATTAGCAAATATGTTCTCCCATACAGGAGGTTCCTTTACAAGTTGAAGCTGGTTTCCTTTGCTATGCAGAATTCTTTTATTTTGATGTAGTACAATTTATTTTTCACTTTGTTTCTCTTGCTCTAGGCATTGCATCAGTGAAAATTCTGCTACTTGAGATGTTTCATTTTGCTGCCTGCATTTTCTTCTAGGACTTTTATGGTTTCACAGCTTAAATTTAACTCTTTTATCTACTTTAAGTTCATGCTTGTGTGTGGTATAATTGGTGGTCTAGTTTCATTTTTTGTGTGCATGCACCTATCCAATGTTCCCACCACCATTTACTGAAGGGGCTGTCTGTACTTCTTTGTATGCTCTTGCTTCCTTTGCTGAACATTAATTGAGAATAATGACTTGGGTCAATTTCTGGGTTCTCTGTTTGGTTCCATTGATCGATATGTCTGTTCCTATGCCAGTACCAGGGTGTTTTGATTACAGTGGCATTACAGTATAATTTGATATCTAGTATTCTGATCCCTACAACTTTGTTCTTGTTTCTCAAGGTTGCTGAGGCTATTCAGGGTCTTTTTTAGTTACATAAAAGTTTTTGGAGTGCTTATTCTAGATGTGAGAAATAGGTCATTGATGTCTTAATAGGGATCGCATTGAATCTATACATTGCTTTGGGTAGTATGGACATGTTGATGATGTTGATTCTATCAATCCATGAACCCTCTATATTGTCCCACTTGTTTATATCTTTATCTATTTTTTCAATATCCTGTAGTTTTCTGAGTACAGATCTTTTACATCCTTGTTTAAGTTTATTTGTAAGAATATGGATTTTATCGTTGCAATCGTAAATGGAATTGTTTTTTTAATTTGTCTTCCTAAGATTTCATTATTGGTGTATAAAAATACCATCGATTTCTGGGTGTTAATTTTATATCCTGCTACATTGCCAAATTCATTTATTAAATCTAGTAGTGTTATACATGATTACTAAGTTTATTTCAACTGTTACACCCAATTCTGCCTTGTAAAAATAACAAAATGTTCCTATCAAAATTACATTGTGATGTGAGTACAGGTTTGTTGTTTTTGATACAGCTCTAGAAAAATGTTGGCACCAAATGCACATAAAAAATTTTAAGGCTTAATAAAAATAGACTGGTGATTTTTCAAAGCAGCTTAGAGGTTGATAACAGGATGCTAAGAGTTCATGGATCCCTGCCAGTTGATAAAACTAGAGTCCTTCCTCTCATTTGCCTGACAGTGAGGGTGAAGGTGAGGCCACGAGGACCAGCAGCACAATTCCAGCAACCCAATTTGGAATTCACAACTTATTTTCTTATGTATTAAAAAGCAAAATGTAGTTTATAAATGGCAGTTCATTTCTACCATTAGTACATTTCATTATAAGTTAAAACAAATTTGTGTGTTTGGGCTTAAAAGTTAACTATCATTTATGACATTTTTAATGGGCAGGGGGAAATATTCTGAATTCCAAACAATTTTCTTAAAAATTACCATTTAAAACACGAAAACAGGAAGTACTTGATAAAGTCACATGAAATAAGTATTTATTGGCTCCAAAGTCAGCAGGGTAACTGAAAGGAAGGAAACTCTTTGGTTGACAAAGCCACATGCAGATCCCCTCAATGTGCCAGGTGTAAGAAGTGGAGTTTGGGAGGCAGCTCCTATAGGCACTTAGTATCTCAGCCACTGTGGCTATGACTAAACACATGTGTTTCTTTTCTCAATTTTAACAATGAAGACATTCCCGGTACCTGGCATTAGCTCTGCAGGCACTCATACCAACAGCCACCACTACACGAACCCGCTTTCTCCTCTGTTAACTACTGATCCAGCATGGGTGATGTAGACTATAATTCTTAGGAAGTTCAATGTGAGAAACTTCTGCCTGACAAGATTAAAGCAACACAATTTGCCAGATTGTTACCTTTGCTGGCCAATATAATAGAATTGGCCAGCTTAGGCTTTTTTTTTGCCAAACTAATCTCCTAGCCCCATGGTAGGCAAACTGCGGCTCGAGAGCTACAGGCGGCTGGCCCCTTGAGTCTGGCTCTTCCACAAAATACCACGGCCTGGGCGAGCCCATTTTGAAAAAGTTTAAGTTTAAAAAATTTGGTTCTCAAAAGAAATTTCAATCGTTGTACTGTTGATATTTAGCTCTGTTGACTAATAAGTTTGCCAACCACTGTCCTAGCCTAAGGTTTCCAAGTCTCTTCTAGAAACTGAATATGGTCCAAAGGTTCTGCAAAGCTTTATAAAGGGTGGTCTAAGCAAACTTTTCTTTCTCTTTGAAACTGACTTTTTTCTAGAGAGGTGTCAGAAACAGACCAGAGTCAATAGTCACTTATGTAAAGCTGGTATTTAAGAATAGCTCTTTAGATATTATTAAAGAACTCAAAGTTCTCAAATATCTCTTCTTCCCAATGTCAACAGGAATAAAGACAAATGAAAGATTTAAATAACCCAATTATGTATCTGGGTAGAGTTTTAGTCTTACAGAAGTCAGTGGGTCTTGCAGATAAATGAACTGTCCACATTCGTGGTGAAGAGCTAAGGTTGAAATTTAGGGATGAGAGAAAAAAAATTCACAAGCAAAACCAGTCTGTGAAGAGACCCAGTCCAGTCCCTTGTGATTGAAAGGCAGATAGATCACCCCAGAGGATCAAGGTACAAATATCTTCTTAAAGCATAAGACCAGGAAAACTTTTTTGCTTTTTGTTGACAGCTGCCGAAGGAAAGCAATCAGAATGCTTCATGAAAAGACTGCAGAATACTCTGTGCCTGGATGCAAAAGAGGTCTCGGGGTTAGCAGCAGTAGTCCCAAGAATGGAGAATAGTGTTTCGACTTATGCTCAACTCATGGGTAGTTTTTGGCTTTCTTTCTGAGGCTTTAAAATCTCTGCTACTATGTGAAGTGATTCCTAGATACCCAATTGGATGGCAGGTCACTGATGCAACAATTACTTGGAAGATCTCACTTCATCAGGGCCCCTGTAGCCTTGTACCAGCTCCACACCCAGCCCAACTGAAAGTTCCTCCCACATCCAAAATTACATATGACTTCTCACCAAAGCATCACAGCCCCGCTCCCTCCTCTGACCAAGATATGTCTCTTGGCAGTCTGGAAGGTGATGTCCTCTGTGGCTCTCAAGGTGGCAGGGGAGCCTGAGCAGTGGCTTCAGATATATGACAGACCCTCTCCCCACCCCCATTCCTTTGGGCTAAAGGAAACTATTTTAAATCCTATCTTGATTTTCTTATCTGGCTACAGGGGAAGCAATAACTTCTCTAATATAATAGAAGGAGATGCTGGATTTGCCTCCAGGTGGATTCAGGACTTTGTTGTGAGATTGAGGACTTGGGCCCAATCGTGGCCATCAGCTGTAGGTGTGGGCTGGGGCTCCTGGGAACAGTGTGCTTCTCTTGGGCTTCTTTTTTCACTTGGCTCTTCTCTGAGCAAGGTGCTCATGACAACTGTAAAGTCCAATTTTTTGTTTTCTCCTTCATATAAGAGTGCACGGTCCCTTGATTTGTTGGATGTGCCAAAGGTAAAGTAGCCATCACTGGGGAACAAAAAATGTCACTGGTCTTCCCACCAGGTGAGTTCAGACACTGTCGAGTGTGCATAGGCATTGATTCTTCAAAGATACCACTTTCTTTCCCCTTGGAGCTGGCTCCGCCGCCCTCCGGAATATGAAACATGTCGCTCTCTGCTCGGTGCCTGGTCATCTGCCATGCCTAAATTTAGTAGTTTTTTTAGTGACCTCTTTAGTGTTTCCTATATTATAATATGTCACCTGTGAATAATAACAGTTTTACTTCTGCCTTTCCAATTTGGATTCCTTTTATTCTTTTCTTATTGTCTGATCTCTTTGTCTAAGACTTCCAGTACTATGTTGAACAGGAGTGGTGAAAGTGGGCATCTCTGACCTGTTCCTGTTCTTAGTGGAAGTGGCTTTAGTTTTGACCCATTAAGTATGATGTTGGCTGTATGTTTGTCATATATCGGTTTTATTATGTTGAGTTATGATCCTTGCATACACACTTTGCTGATAGTTTTTATCAGAAATAGGTATTGGATTTTATCTAATGCTTTTTCTGCATCTATTAATATTATCATACTTTTATCTTTCAATTTTTATGTGATGTATCACATTTATTGATTTATGAATATTGTACCAGCCTTGCATCCCTGGAATGAATCCCACTTGGTCATGGTGTATGATCTTTTAAACATAGTGCTGGATCCAATTGGCTAATATTTTGTTGAGGGTTTTAGCATCAGGGATATTGGCCTGTAATACCCTTTCTTTGTAGTGCCATTTCCTGATTTTGGCATTAGGATAATGCTGACTGGAAAAAAAATAAAGAAAAAGAGCTAATAAGTATTCCTTCCTCTGTATTTTGGATTTGGTTTGAGGAGGATAGGTGTTAGTTCTTCTTTGAATTAAGGTAGTCCTCAGGTTATGTCAAAGATCCTTTCCTACAGTGTGATGTAACTCGATTTTTACCATAAGTTGGAACCCACCTACATAAGCACCTTTGTCACTCACATGGAGCACATACACAGAAGTAATGAAGTGAAACAGTAAGAAAAATATTAAAAGAAAGCAATTCCTGACCTTACTTGTAAATACAGTAAATAATAAAAAACATAAAGTACATATGTTTTTTTAAAAAAAATATATTTTTATTGATTTTGTACAGAGAGGAAGGGAGAGAGATAGAGAATTAGAAACATCGATGAGAGAGAGTCATCGATCAGCTGCCTCTTGCACACCTCCTACTGGGGATATGCCCACAACCAAGGTACATGCCCTTGACCAGAATCGAACCCGGGACCTTTCAGTCCCCACACCAAGGCTCTATCCATTGAGCCAAACCGGTCCCAGCTGATGAAACTTTTTTTTTTTTTAAACAAATATTCTAAATGGGAGATGGCAACATAACCACAAAACAACATGTCAAGTCTGACATAACCTGAGGACTGCCTATTCTATCTAATAAAGGAGTAATATGCAAATTGACCATCACTCCAACACACAAGATGTCTGCCCCCTTGTGGGCAAAGATGGCTGCCCCCATGTGGACATAAGATGGCCACCACAAGATGGCAAGCAGGAGAGGGCAGTTGGAAGGCCTGCAAGGGAGAGCAGTTGTGGGCAATCAGGCCAGCAGGGGAGGGCAGTTGGGGGTGACCAGGCTGGCAGAGGAAGGAAGTTGGGGGCAACTGGGCCTGGAGGGAAGGGGAGTTGGAAGGGGATCAGGCCTGCAGGGGAGGGGAGTTAGGGGCAGCTGGCAGGGGAACAGTTAGACATCAATCAGGCTGGCAGGGGAGTGGTTAGGGGGTTATCAGGCTAAGAGGCAGAAGCAGTTAGGGGCAATCAAGAAGGCAGGCAGGTGAGCACTTGAGAGCCAGCAGTCCTGGATTGTGAGACGAGTCCCAGATGGGAGAGGGTGCAGGCTGGGCTGAGGGACACCCTCCCTCTCCCCCCCATGCACGAATTTCATGCACTGGTACTCCAGTATTTGGAATAATTCTGCTGTGAAGATGCCTAGGCCAGTGCTTTTGTTTTCTGAGATTTTTTCCCCCTGCTTTAATTTTATTAGGTGCCATTGGCCTATCCAGGTTTTCTGATTCTTCCTGGGTGAGTTTTGGGAGACTGCATTTTTCTAGGAATTTGTCCATTTCATCCAGGTTGTCCAACATGCTGGCATATAGTTGTTCACAGTATTTTCTTATAATCCTTTGTATTTCTGTAGTGTCAGTTCTTACTTCACATATTTCATTTCTGATTTTATTTATTTGGTTCCTCTCTTGATGAGTTTGGCTAAAGTTTCATCAATCTTGTTTATCTTTTGAAAGAACCACCTCTTGGTTTCATTGATCTTTTGTATTTTTCTTTTTGGTCATCTATGTCATTTCCTCCCACAGTGATCTTTATTATTTCCTTCCTTCTACTTACTCTTGGATTTTATTGGTGTTCTCTTTCTAATTCTTTAAGTTTTAGAATTAGATAGTTTATTAAAATTTTTTATTCTTTCTTGTAGTAAGCCTGTAATGCTATTAACTTCCCTCACAAGGCTGCTTTCATCCTGTCCTATAGATTTGGGGTTGTTGTGTGTTCATTTTCATTTGTTTCCAGGAAATTTTTTATTTATTCATCTCATTGCTAACCCATTCATTGTTTAATAACATTCTAGTTAGCTTCCATGTGTTTGAATGTTTGGGTTTTTATTTTATTTTATTATAGCTGATTTCTACGTTTATGCCATTGTGATCTGAGAATATGCTTGATATAATTTCAATCTTCTTGAGGTTGTAGAACCTTAGTTTGTGTCCTAACATGTTGATATGTGTTTATTTATTGCCATTATTAATGCCTATGTTCTTCTTTGTCTATGTTTATTCTACTTACAACTGTCCCTTTAGCATTTTTTGCCTTGCTTGATTGGTAGTAATAAATTCTTTAACCTTTTTTCTTTTTGTATGACTTGGATGCTTTTTATTCACCTTCAATATTGAATGATAGCCTTGCTGGATAGAGTTGTCTTGGTTTCAGATTCTTGATTTTCATAACTTTGAATACTTTATGCTAAGGGTGTCAAACTCAATCAGAGAAGGGGCCAAAATCTAAAATCCAGCCTAAATCGCGGGCCGAATGGTTTACTGAACAGTCATAAACTGTCATTGTGATGGAAACGCAGCGGAGTGCAGTGATGACAGCGCGGTGCGGGCCACATTGCAAGGCCTGGCGGGACGGATTTGGCCCGCGGGCCTTGTGTTTGACACATGTGCTTTATGCCATTTCTTTTTTGCATGTAGTGTTTCTGTTGAGAAACTGACAGCCTTATGGGAGCTCCCTCATAGTTAACTGACTGTGTCTCTCTTGCTTCCATTAAGATTCTCTCTTAGTCTTGAAAGTTTGCCATTTTAATTGTGATGTGTTTTAGTGTGGATATCTCTGGGTTCATCTTGATTGGGACTTAGCTATGGTTCTTGAACTTGAGTGAATTTTTCCCCCTCACCAGGGTAGGGAAGTTTTCTGTCAATATTTATTCAAACAGTGTCTGTATTACTTGCTCATTTTTTCCCCCCTGCATTATCCCTATAGTCTCAAACCTCCCTTAAACTGTTCTCCTGCTTTTTATTTTTTTTAATACAATTCCTTCCCTGATTTCATATTTTATTTCTTTGGTTTCTAATTTGCTGATTCTGTTTTCAGCTTCTTCTAGTCTACTCTTGATACCTTCCAGGATATTTTTTATTTCAGCTCTGTCATTCTTCATTTTCGATTGATTGTTATTCTTGGTTTCTACCTCTTTTTTCATGCTGTTGTAGTTCTCATTAAGTTGCTTGTAGTTCTCAATAAGTTGCTTGAACACCCTTATAATCATTACTTTGAATTCTTTATCTGTCAAATTACTTGCCTCCATGACATTTAGTTCCTTTTCATTTTTGTGTTCTTTCTTCATCTCTTCATTTTAGCAGTCCAGTAGTCTGGGGTGCCTGTTGAAGTGGGCCAGGTCACAGGGGGGCATATCTGTGTGTCTGGCGGCAATGGGTTGTGCTAAGTCACAAGGGTAGGTCTGATCATCTAGTGAAGGGGTGTCGAACTCAATCAGAGAAGGGGCCAAAATCTAAAATCTAGCCTAAATCGCGGGCCAAATGGTTTACTGAACAGTCATAAACTGACAATGTTAACCAGAAATGTGAATTTAAAATGAGTGGAACAATCTTTTCCTTAACAGTGCTGTTAACCAACTTACATGCTATCAAGCAAAACAGTAATATTGGTATCAAGCAAAACAGTAATATTGGAATGTACCTAAAATGCTCATTTTGTTTTCTGGCTAGATGTCTGACACCGTTTTCCCCAGATCAATGAGTCAATGTTCGGTTTTATTTCTTGGGCTGTAGCAACCCACAAAACAGCATGGAGGTTGTCATCGGTAATGCGTGATCTGTGCTTGTTTTTGTTCAGATTCATTATTGAAAACATCTGTTCACAAAGATAGGTGCTCCCGAACATGGATAGAATACGGGCAGCATGAAGTCGGAGCTCTGGCATTGAGTCAGGGGGCAGTAGAGGGTAGAAGTCCTCAATTTCAACATCCTGAAACCTTGATTTCAGGCCACTGTCAGACTGAAGCTCCATTATCTCCATCTGAAGGTGATGGGGCACATTGTTGACATCAACTGTAAAAGGATTGGCAAAGATGTCAAAGCCTGAGTGCTGTGTTCTAAAGTCAGAGAAGCGCCGCTCAAATTCACTTAGTAAACGGCTAACTTTGGTAGCCAGCCGACTGCAAGGAAAAGTACCAGAAATAGTGGTTGAGATACTCAAACAAACGGGAAAGTGGGCAAGATTGTCCTGTTCTAGTTGGGACTTCCATAGTTGAAGTTTACGCTGGAATGCTGTGATCATGTCAGACATCTTCGTGATGACTTGTTTGCGTCCCTGCAGCTTCAGATTCAGTTGGGCGAGATGCTCGCATATGTCACACATCATAGCAAAATCACATAGCCAGGCGGGATCTGACAGTTCAGGTAAGGGCTTTCCTTTACTTTCCATGAAAAGAGCAATTTGTTCTCTGAGCTCAAAAAATCTTTTGAGGACTGCGCTCTTGCTCAGCCATCTTACTCCTGTGTGGTATGGCACGTCTCCATGCTCTGCACCCACCTCCTGTAAAAACTGCTGGAACTGGCGATGATTCAGGCCACGTGCCCGTATAAAGTTAATAGTTTTAATGACTGTGGTCATTATGTCATTCATGTCCAGAACTTTTCCACACATAGCCTCTTGGTGGATAATGCAATGAT